CTTTTGACATAATGCAAGCCGAAAATGTTGGTTCAAATCAATCCGCAATCAAGTTGGACGTTTTGCCCACAAACATTGCAATTTTGCGAGCAGTCTCATTGTAAAATCTGATTTTTACAATTTAATAGTTTTGAGCTTATATTAATAAAATTCAACGAAAGCACTTACCTATTTCGGCTGAGTTATCCATTTTCGGTTATTTAGTGCACAAAATAAACGCAAATTAAATTAGTTTGTACAACATGGCCATTAATATAGCGATAAGTGGTACAACTTGCCAGAAAATCCAATTTTTTTGATCTTTCATACAAACAAGACATAAATTCATTCAAAAGGCCCACAAACGGTGAAATCTAGAGCAAAACAACACTAAGTTGAACCAACGGTCGCTATGTTTATGGCTTTCTTTAAGAAACATCGGGCGAAAATTTCAACTGCTCCTGTAACACTACCTTATATATGTAAGTTGGCCTTGCTATCATCCTCACATATGTTCATCAGAGTATACCAACAAAGGACGAGTTAATACAAGGAGATAGCAAGAACACAAAACTACTCTAGAAAATTACACGCACAATGACAAACATGAACAAATGTACAACAAACACATAATTTTTGAGAATCAGTACAGTTCGCATTTGTATCAACGAGCAGCTTATTAGATTTGTTTTCGTTTGTACTACGTACATATGTGCATATACACATGTACACAAACATATGTGCATATACACATGTACACAAACATATGTACATACACAAACATATGTACATACACACAAATATATATACTACAACCATTCAAACATATGTACATACATGAAAACATTGCTGTCGATAAGTACATATACATATTCCCATCAGTTCATCAACGATCATAAATATATCCATACAAACATATGTACATATGTACGAATGGATGTAGTTACGCGAAGAACGCTTGCATCATTTATACATATATTGCTTGGCAGCGACAGAGCTGAAATGCGCAATGAGTTCGTTCATACATGCATATATATGTATACATATATATATGTACATGTACATACATGCATTCAAACATACATATATACATATGTAGGTATTCGTACCCGTCATGCGTCGCTTTATTTCTTTTTGCCCCTTCCCTATACTACCTATATCTTCCTTCTCACTCATGTAACGTTTTCAGTTTTAAAAATTTCACTCTCCATTTTTGCGATACCGCCGCCTAAGAAGTTTCACTTCAAAAAATAAACCTTCTATTGTCCACAGGTCAAGCTTTTTAACCTGACACTTCATTTTTGAAAATGAAACGAATCGTACAGATCTCAAGGCACTGACAAAATATGACAAAAATTTATTTTATGCATTAGAGAAAAACGCATTACTTCAGAAAGTGCAAAAAATTAGCAGGTGTTTATTTCTTCTTTTGAAAGCTAAAAGCCCATACTATTATATATAAACAATTTTTACATATATTTTTTATTCATTCCATTAAAATTTAGAATTTTTTGAAATTTTGTTTAAAAAAATAGTTTTTTTGGAACACCTCAGGGACACCCTGTGTTTAATTTTATTCCAAAATTTTCATTCTTGTAATTCTCTACTATCTATATGGAAAGAAGAAACGTCAAACCAACATTTTAGTTCAAAGAATATATTTTTGACATTTTTTTCTGTGAAGAGTTTACGCATGGCTATGATCTTATTAAAATTCTTAGAATAAAATTTGTCGCCTTTTGTGGCTTCCTGGCGGCATATAGTTAATTTTTTAGGGAAATTTCTGTTTACTTCTTTTTAGTAGATAAATTGTCTCTACAAAAATACCAAACAAGTTCACATTGCAGATAACGAATTTTTCGATTTTTGCCCACTTAGGCGGCACTTTGCGTCGGTGATATCTCAAACCCAGCATGTGGAGTTCAAGAACTTAAGAAGTTGCAGTGGGTTAATATAATATATGTCTGTTGAACCGCAGAAGCAGGGTTTGCCTAAAAGCCTGATTATAGTCCTACATAGTGCTGGGCAATCGCAGAGTAGATGCTCCACCGTTTCTTCTGCATCTGGTGAATTACAACTACGACAGGAGGTATTGTGTTTTAGTCCTAATCTTGCAGCATGTATTCCCACGGCCCAGTGGCCTGTGTAAATTCTAGTTAGTCGAGATAGATCCCTCCTGTGCGTTTTGTGCAGTAGGTGGGCCACAGACTCCTGCAGACCCTACAGGATTGTAGGCTTTTCCCCCAACTGTTGGCCACATTTTTTCCAGTGCTGAGCTCAAAGGCACAGAAACCTCCTCTGCCTCTGAGATATCTAGAGCTGACCTATTCCTGGCCAGTTCGTCCTGGGTTCGCACCGGTACCCAGATCAGTGCAACGGCGTGCCTGTCAGCTAAAACCATAACGTTCTCCCTGCACTGTTTTATTATGCTGGAGGTGATGATTACAGAGACAAGTGCCGTGATCGCAACCTGACTGTCTTAAAAAATACCAATGCTGGTTCTCACTAGCTTCGAGGCTAAAATTATTTTGCACGCCTGATTTATGGCAAATACTTCTGCATGAAAAACACTGGCCCAATTTTGTAATCGAATAAACTCTTCGATTTGGAATTCGGTTGAAAAAATTCCCGCCCCTACGCCGCAATCCATTTTTGTACCGTCCGTAAAAATGGATACTTCGAAGCGATCAGTAATTTCTTGATGGAAAAATCGTGCGGAAGTTTTTTCTTGAAGAGAAGCGAAGGCCAAATGTAGTCAGTTTTTTCGCGAATGCTTGGGTCGTTGAAACAATCCTGTATTGCCCATACGTACGTTCTTTCCACAATCCAAGTTCCCTCAACCTGAGCGCACTCTGTGAAGCACTTTCCTTGATAAAGAGATCAGTCGGGGGCAGATTACAGATGACATTCAATGCTTCCATTGGACATGATCTGATCGCACCAGTAATCGCAATGCAGGCTGACCTTTGTACCCTGCCTAACATTGTGCGTATGTAGTTAATCTCTACGGCTTTCCACCAAACCAACGAACCATATGCAATAATTGGGAGAATCACAGCCTTTTACATCCATAGCATAAGTTCAGGTCGTAGGCCACACCTCTTGTCCAGCATTTTCTTGCAGGAATACAGAGCACTATAGGCCTTCTTTACTCGGTGCTCTGTATTCATTTTCCAGTTAAATTTCAGGTGAGAATGACTCCCAAATACTTAGCGTAAAGGGAAAGAGAAAGAGTATGCCCGTTTAAGGAAGGTAGGTTAAAATTAGGAATCTTTTTCCTTGTAGTGAATAATAGTAATTCGGTCTTCGAGGGATTAACGTTGAGCCCGCAGCTATTTGCCCACGAACCCAATTCCCCTAGTGCTCTTAGAATCATTTTGCTTATCACATTTATGCATAATCCGGATACCATAATCACTACATCATCTGGGAATGAAAACTACTTTAACACTTTGCTAGGTAGACGGAACATAGTTGAGCATTATACATGCTTTGAAAATGATCTCTAGCCATGAAATAACCCACGACTTCCCCTCCTGTAGCATTGCTGGAAAGATCCAGTCCGGACCCGGAGATTTGTACGGAGAGAAACTGTTAATTGCTTATGCAATCTTCTCCCGCGTGAAAATTTCGTTAACGACATTAATGAATGGTGCCGCTACGTTGCTACATACCCCTGAGACCTGATTTGGGCCACAGCCTGGAAAATGGGTACGAAGAAGGAGTTCTAATGTCTCCTTAGAACTATTGGTCCAACCTCCGTCTTCCTTTTTTAGGAAGGAAATATTGCTGTCTTTCTTGGATAGGATCCTCCCCATTCTGGCGGATTCTTTCGTTGAATCTATAGAAGAGCAGAAATCCCTCCAGGATTCCTGTTTTGCTTTGCGAGTTGCTTTTTTGTAAATTCTCAAGCTATCTTTATATGTCTGCCAGTTGCCCGTGGAATAGCTTAAATTGGAGGCTTTAGGAGAATCTTTCCTAAGTTCCGAAATCTCCTCTCCCCACCATGGAGGATATTTTTTCCGCCCGCAGCTTACGGGGCAGGAGACTTTAAAGGCCGATCCCATAGCCTTTACGAATTTGTTGCACTTGGTTTCTATATCTTCCGAGGTCGTTAAATTACTATTGTGATCATTAGCGCACACAAGGGGTGGGTTTTGGGGTTCAAACCCCCCCCCTAAAGCTAATAACCTCAAATACAAACTGTATCTTAAAGCTAAGAATCCAGCTCTCAAGGAAATTATAAGAAATATTTAATATAATTTCTGTTGCTTGAAAAAGCGCTTTGCTTTTGCTGTAAATTTTCATGAGGAAATAAATATACGAGCATTTTTTTCTTGAGAGCTGCAAACTGATTTATGCAAATTTGGTAGAAGAAAATTTCTTTTCCATTTCTCGTCCGTCGTTTTATATGAACTTTTCGTTTTTCTTGAGCAATCATGAAAAATCACCATCTATCGAAAACCAGAAATCGAAAACATGAACATAAAAGTGCAAAAATTCATGGAATCAATACTTTTATTTTTACTGACTCTTTTTTAAAATTTTTTATTAGGTACTTTTGAAAGTTGAGCGCATATTGAGTTTATAGAACTTTTTATTAAACAAGTAGTTTTTAAGGAAAGAAGACAACCGACTTCAATTCTCATATACAAATTTAGGGGTACCGTTAATTTCTCCATGATCCAATCATCGGATCTGTAAAACAAATTACGGGACGACCCTTGAGGTACCATCTTTCTAATAAAAAAAGGATTATTGAAATCGGTTCACGTGGTAAAAAAGTTATGTATTCCGGCGAATTGATAACCTCCCCTTTTTTGAAGTCGGTTAAAAGGGTTTGAGTTTTGTTAATCTAATGTAAATAAAGTGCAGTTTATGAATTTTAAAACGTTTATTTATTTATGACATACTGTACATAAAACTTGCATAAATGTATTTTAAAGAGCGTATTATCAAGCAAATTTTCAGTATTTTCCGGTGATATATCTTCAGAAATATAAAACCCCCCCCTAAAATATATTCCTGGGTGCGCCCCTGATTGTGATGTTTCCCAAGTTTGCTACTGACAACACTGGCAAACCGCCGCCAGTTTTTTATCTTTGGGTTACGAAAAGGAAGGGAAACATTCTGGCTAACCGATAAGTTGAACAGTATGTAGCTATGATCAGAAATTGATTTCCGAGCAGATACCATCCAGTTGTCCACCTTAATGCTACCTCTGCTACTACAATCGTTAGTTAGAGTTATGTAAAACACTTCTTCCCAGCCCCTGAAGGCAGCGGTGCTAGAAAACGTGAACGTAGGAGTGCTACCCCGATTACAAATTATTAGGTTAGTGCTAAGAATGTAATCGAAAAGAAACTCACCGCGAGTATTTATTTCCGAGCTGCCCCAGATCGAATGCCTGGAGTTGAAATCGCACCCGATAAGTAGATTGTCCGATTGAAAATTCACCACTAGACAACGAATCACATCCGGTAGTGCGTCCTCGTTGTGTGGCATGTAGCACGAGGCGATGACCATGCTAGTACCACCATCCGCTTCGAGTCTCGTAGTTGTTAGATCCGATGAGCTGTGGGAAGAGATAAGAAAAGTATGGTATTGAAATTTAACCGGAACACAAGATCTAGGCTTACCCTCCGATTAACCTCGGTGTTCCATACCCAGGGCTCCTAAATGAGTGCGATGTCGACATCTTCCTCCACCAGCCTCTAGTGCTGGAGGGTAATCTGGACAACCTTCAGACCCATTTTCAATTTGGGTCAGCAGTTGGGTCAGCGAGCAGCATGCCTTCCAGCGGCTTATTTGCATCGTCGACCACGTCAGACTCTTCTTCTTCACCATTGTTCGCAAGGAAAATTTTTATTTTGGCTCGCCGGATACCAGAGCGAAGGACACAGTCGGCCTTTTCCAAAGGCTCGATGCTTTCCTCACCAAAGAGGTGTAAGAAGGACATACAGGTTGTTTGTGACTCCTCAGCCTTAAGGATCACCCAGTCGTTTATCGGGATTTCGCGGTTGTGTGTGCACAGGTATTTTAGAAGTGCCGCGCTATCCATCTGCACACGTGGGAGCCAAATGCGAGCTCTTGGCCTCTTGGGGATGTCACTGGCAGGGATGAGATTGAGTCTCATGCTCTCCCAAGCATCACTGATGCTCGTCAAGCTCTTCTCCAGGAAAACCTTTGAGAGTTGGTTCTCACATTTGACCACCCTGTAGCTGCGCACTACCTACGCAGAGTCCTGGGGAGATGGCCATCCGGCTCTGCCATGACCTGGTCAACGACCATTTGAGGCGGCCCGTCTCAATCTCCCCACACTTGTCAAGCACCGGCTTCGCCTTGTTTGAGACCACATCTACAAGTTCCACCCACAGGCTATCCCTTGGCACCTCGCTGAAGCCACGCCGTGGCCTTGCTGCAGTATCCGCACTTGCTTGGTCAGCAGAAAACCTCCCCTTTTTTGGGGCTCTTTCGACCTCATTCTGGGACCTATTCGGCTTTCCCGCATCCTTGTTTTGGGTGGCCTGGTACAACCGGTACTCATCCACCGCCGGCTGAAAACGATTTCTGTCTTCGGCGTCCTTCGGGTGCAGTGGCGGATCGGGAAAAAAATTTCGGTTACAATATATTACCTCGAACGAGAAATTTGAAAAGAAATTAAAAATTTATTTTTTGATCTTCAATCATAATCCCTTTTTTATACTATGTCTCCATTGAGAGATTTATCCATTAAGATTTAATAAATCCAGTTGCTAAATCACAACCGTCTCCATTACCACAACGAGATATGTTTGACGTTCACATTTTTAAATATTTGACGTTTTCAAATGTATAATTTTATAAATACAGTTGCGGACATTGATATACAGACAGATAAAAGGAAGGTACCAAGCGGAATTTCATTATATGAATTCTGAATATTATTGGCTTCTTATTCGTGGTAAATATGTATGTATAATATATAGTTTGGAAAGTGTAACGAATGGTACCATATTCCGAATCATTTTCCGGAATTTAAGAAAAATTATTAAAACGGTAAAAAAACATTTGCTGAAAGAAAATTTTTTGTAGAACTCTCTTATTCATAGGAGGGAACCGAAAATCCAATCGTGGGCCTTTGGCATATTATGAATACGAACTGCGTTCTAGAGGATGTTCGGTGCAATGTTATCGAAGCAGAACCATTACCGAAATTTATAAATTTTTTGTCGCAGCGCGTAAATGACTTATAGAAAGCGGAGAAGACTCTGCATGATATTACTATAAAACATTTCTTCTAAATTTTTAGTTTTTAAAATAATATTTTCTTAATTTATTACAACCAAAGTTATGTAAATATGTATTACTAATTTTCCTTCCAAACTAACAAAAATATAAAAACCCCTAAAAATTCGAAAATTCATGTTTTTATGACAGGCTAGATTTCAATGTCCTCAACTGTATATTGAAAACACAAATGTCATTTGACTTATGGCATGTGAATTTGTGGTTGCCACATCCAACAAATTGTACTTATTGATCAATATTATTGAAGATTTGACGAAGATTTAACATAATCTGCCTTTTGAGATTTAATTTTATATGGTAAATCTCAAAAGATTTAACGTCAAATCTCGTCAGAGGGCTAAATCTTCATTAAATCTCACAATGGAGACATAGTATTAGGCTTGCACAAGATTATTTATAGAATAAGAAAGCATGTTATTCTCTTAAATTAAAAATTACAACAATAGGTATGCAAATACTATGAATTTATAGACCTTGTTATAACTTTACGGCATTTATATTTGGCAAGATTTGACCATTTGTCTTAATAGTTTTTAATTTTCATTATTTGCTTATAAAAATATAGTATAATCTTAAACAAAAACCATACAAAACCAAGCTTGAATCTTTGCGCAACGTTTTAAAAAATCCACAAACTCGTAAAAATGTCGACCTTTTTAATTCGATTTTTAAGAAATATTAAGCAGTTTTTTAGCCCATTTAATTATACTGCAAGTTTAAAGTAACTGATTTTGGCATTTTTTTGTTGACCATGTTAGCCATTTTATTCCATACAAAACATTTTCGATGATTTTTTTGTTGTATGGAGAAAATGAGCAACACTTTCGACGAAAAAAAATTCCCAAATCTTAATGGTACTTGAAATTGGTCTACAAAACTGCATACTCAAAATATTTCTAAAAAATCTAATTAAAAAGCTCGAAATTTTTACAAACTTTGTTGATTTCTTTTTTAATTTTGCACAAAGATTTATATGGTTTCTGTTAAAAATATGCTATACCTTTAAAAAACAATAATTAAAATTAATAAATTTTAAAATAAATGGTAACATTTTGCCAGTATGTGAGTGTCGTAAAGTTATGATAAGAACTATATGTATGCATGTCGAATCAAACTTTTTGATACTACTTATTGTCTATTTTCGCGGTGAATGCAGAAAATTTCACATTTCACAACTGTGTAACCAGACAATCGTAGGGGGATAATAGCAAAATGCGTAGAAAAAGCGCTTGCCGTGTTAGTTACCGATATCGCTAAGGAATTATACTATTTGGACATTGTCCTTCCTCGGAGAGCGGATAGATGACATTTTCGGGCTAATTATCGGCATCTAGCGCTGCAGATTATTATCGAAAGGTAATATTTATACCGCTATTGCATAATATTTAGCTCGATCTCCGAGAAAGATTGCCGAAATATACATTACATAAACATTTTTGAGTTGAACTATTACTTCCATACATATAAACTTAGGGAATATAATACGCTACAAAAAGACGCTTTCAGTTTGGAAGGAGAGTATAAAGTGTGGTCAGAACGATGAACAAATGAGGTAAGCGAAAAGCCATACCTAAAATCAGCAGCAGAAGTTCTTGGTAAATGGGACGACGAATATGCTTTTCCGTTGATTAACGAAATTCTCCGCATTCTGACTACACTTCTAGCTAGTAACGCTACTTCAGAAAGAAGTTACCCTTCGCCGGTTAAAAACATGGTTCCATAGTACCATGAATGAAAAAAGACTGATAGGCACTTTTACACGTACACTTAGGGCCAGTTTTTCAGTGCACTGTAGTGCAACTTAGTTTAAACGCCCAAGCTGGCTGCTATAAACTAAGGGCCAATTTCAAATGAATATTTAAATAGCACTTAAGTTTAATTGTGGATTGTTGTTTGAGTGCCATTTAACTTTTGTTGGGTTTCAGATCAACTTTGTCTAAATATGCCAAACAATTGGCAATCTAAGTATAAACTGCCACTGAAACTGGCCCTTAGATATTGAAATTGGCGCTGAATGAATAATACAAACACTCCTGTTGCGAGTGTCGACTGGCAGTAGAATAGAATTTTGTAGATTGAGTCGATTATCTGTTATTTTGGTATTGCCCAAATTGATCGATAAAAATTTGTATTATTGTGAATGGTTGACTGAATTGTAAACAGCTGTTTGATTGTTTACATTTGTCTCTTTATTGTTTCAGTTACATCATTTTTGCTTTTATTATAACATTTAAAAAAAGGATACTGTTGAGATATGGTTCAGTGATGAGGAAGTTGATGTGGAAGCTATTTGATTAGTAGGGATAGCTAAAGCAAGGAGGAAATTTGCGAAATTCGTCGAATCCCTCGGAGTTGGAAGATGAAGTGTGTGTACATACATATGTGAATTTCATGAATAGTAGTTGCGTTCCAGATGCTTCAAGATTTGCAGGAAAAGCTGTTTTCGCCATTAATAAACCTTATGGGAGGTGGCCACCTGGAACAACTTCCTGTAAAAACCTGCAAATCGTAAAGCGTCTGGAACGCAACTAGTTTAAGAAATTTGGTACGGTTTAGTCATTTGTACAATTATTTTCGGTTGTCGTGTCGAAAGCGTGAACCGATTCTAAAAACTTTAACATACACGTGTAGTGAAAGGATTTAGGTTCTGCAAAAAAAAGACTGGATGGCTTAGATGGAGTTATATGCTGTTCAGTTCTACTGCTATGGCTTCCCTTCTGGGATTTGCCCGAGTCTTGCTGGAAATCCCTTTAACCAAGTCCTGATAGACCTGCATAAGCTTGACCGCCTGAGTTGCTTTTTATTGCTAACCACTTTTGATCTGCAATTCATACACATGCATACTAATTTTTTTTACACTTTCGATCCAAATAACTTACTTTTTATCCAATATTTATTAATTTATATCACAACAATTTTATTCACGCAAACCCGTATCGATTCAGAAACAGCAATAGAAGGATGAGCGATTGAAAACTATTCACAGTCGCTAATTGAGCGACTAATCGACACTCACAATAGGATCGGTAATCGACAATCGCTTAGTAGTCGTTTATCTACGCCTAGTCGGCACTCGCAATAGGGGTGAAATATTCCCAAAAGGAAAGCGCAAAATTGAGTTTACAATTTAAATTATTATAATCGAAATTCCGAATAAGTTGGTAAGTTATAATCAAAAAATAAGTATTTATGTAATATACACAAATATATACTGCTTTAATAAACCCAGAGCATAACTTTTTATCTTGTGCTTTTTTACAAAACAGTATAATTGTTTTATTACATGGGACTCTGTAAATGGACCTTGCGCCACATTAACCACATGAAACTTACTTAAAGTAAAATTATATCACAAAACATTTTAATTCGGACTTCCTGAAAATTACTAGAACCTCTATTTGCGGGAAAAATAAATGAGGGTTCAAGCAGGTTGGATGCTTGTAGGTCATATAGCTTCGATTGGTCACTACGCTGTGAATGAAGTTAGATGCCTGTAATTTAACGTTATTCGACAAGTCGATTCCAATCGCCCCTCTCCAAATAAAATCCTGTCTCCGCCACTCTTCGGGTGCACGGTCCCTTTGGTCTCATTCCGCTATGTCCTACCGAGGATAGATAGAGCCCGGTATCGCTTTTCCCGAAGTGGCTTCGACGTCAAGGGTTTGATATTTGGCTGCCCCTTGGCAGCCGTAGGAAGCTGTTGATTAGATGACGGAGTACTGTGGCCCACAGTACTTGATCCGTCACCTGGCGTCAATATCTTCTGACTGGATAGGAGGAGCTCCTTCTCCATGGAGAGGCTTGGACTACCCAGCCG